GAAGAAAAGAAGGAATATGTTTAAGTTTTAGACTTATACTATAATAATTCACAATTAAAAAAACTGAAGCATTGTTATAGTAATTATTAACAATATATTGTATTCTAACCAAAGTTATTCAACAATAACTAATATTATATTAAACAATAATCAATGAATAATAGTAAGTTTAAATATATAAATTAGTAGTTATATCATCAAAATGTAAAATTTATATAGTTTTTTATTATCATAAATTATCTTTTATCAAAATATCTCACTTTAAAAAATTATTCCCGATTATCCCACTTTCAAAAAATTGGCCAACTTTAACAATTATCCCATTTATCGTGAAAATGTTCCCATTGACTAACACCCCCAAGACAAAATTTACCCTAACTCTTTATTGGAATTTTTTTTAGACAAGTGGGATAATTTTAGAACAATCATAAACTTACTAATATATGTGATGAACATATTAGACATGTAATTAAATATAAAATCTGGGTTATATGCATACAAAACCTAAATTATCCTTATTTATTTTAAAACTAACTTACTTCTATATACACTTAAAATCAAAAAAAAAATATGTTTATCTTTAAGCTCATAGCATCAAATACACCTTATTTATACGTAGTATTTACAAAATAAAACTTAAAAATTTCAAAATATCTTTTTCTTTTTTCTCCTCCTCTTCTTTTAGGGTCTATTTGTTTGCGTGAAAGTATTATGAAATAACTGAAGTGAAGAAAATATATAATAATTTTTATTACTTTCAAATAAAAAAATATGTTTATTTTTCTTAAAATGTTACTTTCGGTATTTTTCTAAATAATAATATGGCACTCCTACTTTTTACTATTTTCCCACCCCTTAGAATTAGAAGCATCTCGGAAGTTTTTAAAATAAGGATTATGAAGTAGCTTTGACTGGCTAGGTTGATGTCCAAACGGACGGAGGCAACAACAATGAATATTTTAGGAACTCATGGGAACTTGGTAGTAGAAAGACTTAGGAATAGGATTTGTGAAGTGTATTCTATATTAAGGAAAACTTTAAGGGGTTGTTTGTTTCAAATCCTATAATTGATATGGATTTTACCATGGGATTTAAAATCAATAGGTTTTTTAACATAGGTTGAGATTTTTAAAATGTTGTTTGTTTTATTAATATTTTGGGATATGTAATCCTATAGTTTGTATATATTTTGTTTGTTTAAAACTCAAATTGTAACATTACAAATTTAAATTTTAGAATATGAAATCTAGCCTAAATTCTCTCTCAAAGAGGGGATTTCACAAATTTTATAATATATTAGTTTTTTATTATTTAGGTATTCAATATCTCAAAATTTATTTTGAATCAAACAAAGATTATGGAATCCATAAACTCAAAAACCCCACTTTTTCATCCTAAAATTTGTAATGAACCCTAAAACCAATTTTTTTTTGAAACAAACACCCCCTAAGTAGAGGCAGGGGCGTAGTCATATAGGGCCTGACAGACCCCACCACCCCCATCACACACCCCACCCCAAGAAAAAAAAATAAAAAAACCTCTCCTCTCCCAGACTGCAAACACCCCAACGTAATTTGCACTTAAATATCTTATAGTTTCCTCTATTGCGCTTATATACCCTCAATTATTTTCGACATCACTTATATACACTAAAGTTCTTAAATTTTGCATTTATATATCTTCGCTTATTTTTTGCAAAACTTATACCTCCTAATGTTTTCAAAAATTACACTTATATATTCTGAAGTTTTTAAAACTTGCACTTAAATACCTTTAATTATGCAAACGTGGCAGCTTTCTACTGAAAGTTCTCATGAAACACCACATACTAATTTTAGAAAAATTTAACCCTTCATTTTTCTCAAATGTATTACACTAATTATATTTTGAAATAGAATTTGAATATGTCTAACATTAAATTTAATAAACAATCAAGAGTTAAAACCATTCTAAATTTAATTTGCAAGGGGAAATTCTTGGGTTTGCATAACCTATGGTACT